CCTGACATTTAAGTGCGAATAATAGCTGACGCGGATGAACAGTTCTGAATATGTCGGTGCCCGTCGCCCCGGCGCTGGTCGTGGCGCGCGCGGGTCAGTTGAGCCCCGTTGAGGCTGGTGGTATGTGGTGGTGTCTGCGCCAGAGCCGGTCGCACAGGAAAAAGACTGTTAACTCGTATTATTTTGGATATGTAACCGTAATTAGGCGAATATTTACTGTGTATGAAACCAATATTGAATTTATATGAATTGCCTGCAGATATTTATTACCGGTCATTTATATGTGGATAAATAAGGTGAAGGCTGACACTCGTCTCGGATTTATAGCCATTTACCAAGACCGTGAGGCTGGTCGTCTAATGTGCCTCTGGAGACGTGTGCCTCTGGTTTCGTTAGCCGATAAGCGACTCAGGAGCACATTTGTCGGTACGTAACTAAATGTCGCGGTAGCACAATCATGTAATCAAGTGCTTTCGATATAATTATACTGTTTCGTATATGCATATTCAAGTGCATGAATGGACGCGTAGCAATGTACCTGGTTGCCTTTATCAAGTTATTTATTTATGCGTGTGTTATGTTCCCCCGCGCCTGTCCCTTTTATTTCCGTCACGTTTGTTTGCGCTCGTTTATGTTTATTTGTGCAATGCTTAACTTAGGGCCGTTGTTTTACAGCAACGATTGCGTGCGGAGGGCCACACGGTCCAATACACCGATCCGTGACGACATCCGAGTTTCGAACTGAGTCTGGTCGGCGGCTACAGTTGCGACAACTGCGACAACGCTTCGCGAGACGACGGAGTGACGTCACCTCGTCGTGGAGGACGGCACGCTACAGGAGCAGGAGCACCACACTCGTCCGTACTGGTATGGTGAGCGCCTTCGCGCTATCACGCCTGTGGTGACTCCGCTCCAGGCCATTTGCCGCGTGATCTAAGTGACGTCATAACGTCGGACAGTTGCGTCATAGACTTGGTGACGTCATGCTGGGTGGTTGGTGACGTCATACTGGATGGTTGACGTCATAGTGAGGGGTGACGTAATGCCGTACTATTGTGACGTCATGACGGGGGTGACGTCATACTGAGCTTTTGACGTCATATAGCGATTGTGGCGTCATACTTAACGGAGTTCGCGTTTTGTTGGGTGTTCCGTCGGCTGTTAACGTGTTGCCGAAGGTTATTGATCGTGAATGAACTGCACTCGGTGTTATATTAAGCAAACTCTAAGTTTTCACGTGATCCTGGATAATTTTCCTATTGATTTACCTCACCTGTCTGGAGACTCACCTCGGTTTCACGCGTCGTCGATAGGCGGTTTGTCCTCCGGGCAGCTCGCTGATTGTCGTAGCTGGCTCGGTCGCCTTGCGTGATTGGTTGATCAACTGCTAACTAAGTCTTGTACTTCAATTGGTCACACTTCTGTTAATCAGCTAGATGATAGTTGGGAGCCGCTTTGATTAGTTGTCATCAATCATGAATCCTCTAGAAGAGCTGAAAGTGTCGGAGTTGAAGGCGGAGTTGAAGGGAAGAGGTGCAGACACTAAGGGTTCGAAGCCGGCGCTGATGCTGCGATTAAATGAGGTTTTGGTTCAAGAAGGAATCGACGTTGCATCATTCGTTGCAGCTCGACGGGACGTTTCCGCCGAACCGAGAGCTGATGCCGCAGCCGCTGAGGTGGCTGTTCCTGATTTGGACAACACGGTCCCGGCTCCTGGACCCCTCGTCAGAGCCACATCACAGATGTCCTTGCGTAGTTCTGCCTCGCAAGTCTCCATCTCTTCGTTGCGAGCAGCGGAGTCGGCGACGAAGGCGGGACTGATGGCTCGAGCTGCCTTTCTGAAAAGGAAGCAGAAGATGGAGAAGGAAGAACTGGAGATGAAGATGCGCAAGCAGAAGATGAGAATGAAGAACTGGATGAAGATGCGCATGGAGAATCTGCAGTTGGAGAGTGAGCTGGCAGAGGTGGAAGCCAGAGAACGTGCACTGATGGAAGCCGAAGAGCAAGGTTCTCAAACAAGACCAGGCGTGGCTTCGTTGCGAGCTGTCTGTCCAGCTGAGCCGAACGAGAGGACTGGACATGCAGAAGACGTTGTCGGCAGCGAGCAACCACTGGTCACTGTTCAGTCAGACGCTGGGGCTTCAGAGGCGCGTGCTGATCAGATGAACGTCAGGAAGAATCCACCTCAACCTGACCTTAACGCTTCACAGCCCGATGCTACACAGGTCATCCTGTCCCAGATCCAGCAAAGTCGTCTCCCGAGACCAGAGTTGCCAGTTTTCAAGGGTGATGTAACACAATACAGATCCTTCATCCGTGCCTTCGATAGCAGGATCGGGAGCAAGACCGACAGTGATTCGGAGCGGCTGTTCTACTTGGAGCAATACTGCGCTGGAAAACCACGGGACATCATCAGAGGATGTCTTCACATGACCGAAGATGTTGGATATCTGGAGGCTCGGCGACTGCTGGAACGAAGATATGGCGACCCAGAAACAGTCTCGTCGGCATTCGTTGACATGTTGATGGACTGGCCTCAGCTGAAGCCAGGAGATGTTGAAGGACTTGATCGTTTCTCACTGGCGCTCACCTCGTGTTTGAATGTAATGCAGAGCATTCCTCTTGGAGCCAGGGAGACTGACCATCCCCGGACGATGCGAAAGTTGTAGAGAAGCTCCCCAGCCATCTGCAGGACTCCTGGCGGCGACGAGCTCACAAGATCCAAGAGTCTGAGAAGAGGAGGGTGAAGTTTCAAGACGTCACCTTCGTCGACAGCGAGGTGCAAATCCAGACCAATCCTACGTTTGGCAGGCACCGAGAAGAACGAGTCAGAAGACAGACACACACAGTCTCAGCTACAGCAGTTGCAGGAGCGGTACAGTCCTCGAAGAGTTGTCTGTACTGTCATGGTAGTCACTTCACTGATCTGTGTGCTGAGTTGGTCAAGCTGCAATGGGAAAAACGGCGAGAGTTCGTTCGTGAGAACAGACTGTGCTTCGGATGCCTTCGAAAGGGCCACAGATTCAGTAACTGCTTCAGGAAGCTCGTCTGTGGAACTTGTAAGCGGCTGCATCCAACAGCGATGCACAAGAACGAAAGTGCTGAAGGAACTGGTCAGAACCCTTCTGATGGAAATGGTGAGCAAAACACTTCTGTGAAGAATGGACGATTGGATGCATCGCCGACTGAAGTCTCTGCTGGTACGGCAAGCTGCAGGTCGTCGGCGATGATGGCTATTCTGCCGGTGAAGATGTGGAACGCTGACTGCTCTCGTTCAGTCGTCACGCATGCGTTCTTGGATTTGGGCTCAAGCGCAACGTTTTGCACGCCGAATCTTCTGAAGGCGCTGGGCATGGAAGGAGAAGCTACGGAGCTCACAATGACGACTGCAACAGCTGAGAACCAGCGGATTTCCAGCACATTGGTGAAAGGCCTGCAGATATCTGACATGGCGGGGAAGAAAGTAATGGATTTACCGCCGTCGTACACGTTGCAGAGAATTCCAGTCGATCGCCAGGATATCGCAACAGCTACGGATCTGGAGCGCTGGCCACAACTGCAAGAGGTTGTTCCCCCGGAAGTACATGCGGATATTGAACTTTTGATCGGAGCCAATTGTCCTCAGGCCCTGATACCTCTCGAAGTTCGCGCTGGTGGAGAGGGATGCCCATTTGCCATTCGTACGTCTCTTGGATGGGTGGTGTATGGACCAAGATCCCGCAGCCGGGTTTCCGATGGAAGCGCGAGAGTAAATCGTATCGAGGTACTAAGCCCAACAGATGATGAATTTGACCTTCACAGCAAATTTGTCGCGCTCTACAACCAGGACTTCGAGCATGATCTTAGTTCCACAGACGTTGGCTTCTCCATTGAAGATCGAGCGTGGATGAAGATCGTGGAGGGCGGAGTCCGTCACCTGGATGGTCGTTACCAGATACCCCTGCCACTGAAAAGCGAGATCATCCTGCCGGACAACAAACAGCAAGCAGAGAGACGAGCAGAGCAGCTGAAAAGGAAAATGCTCAAGAGCCAGAAGTATCTCCAAGACTACAAAACATTTGTCAACGAGTTAATCGAGAAAAACTACGCAGAACGTGTCAAGAACGAGCAGATCGACATGTCAGAGGGACGTACCTGGTATATACCGCATCATGGTGTATATCATCCGATGAAACCTGAAAAGATTCGTGTCGTCTACGATTGCTCTGCAACTTACCAGGGCATGTCGCTCAACAGTCGGCTGCTGCAAGGACCAAATCTGACGAGTTCTCTCTTGGGCGTGTTGCTGAGGTTCCGAGAGGGACCGGTAGCAGTCATGGCTGATATTGAAAAAATGTTCTATCAGGTGAGGGTTCCGGAGGATGACAGAAGTTTGCTCAGATTTTTATGGTGGCCGAATGGTGACACAGAACGGGAACTGGAAGTGTATCAGATGAATGTGCACCTCTTCGGTGCGATCAGTTCTCCGTCTTGTGCAAACTTCGCGCTACGGAGGACAGCGCAGGACTTCGGAGATAAGTTTGATGCTGACGTCATAGACAGTATTCAACGCTCGTTCTATGTTGATGATTTCATGAAGACAGGATCTACGGCTGATGAGGTGTTGAGGATTGCAAGAGGAGTCAGAGACTGCTGTGCGTTGGGAGGATTCCGACTGACCAGCTTCGTCAGTAACTGCCCTGACGTCATGTTCTGTTTCCCGGAATCTGAGCGCGTGACACACAAGAAGTTTGATCTGACCGGCCACGATCTTTCTGCGCAGACGCTAAGAGCTTTGGGTGTTCAGTGGGACGTATCTGAAGATACTCTTAGCTTCCGTGTTGATGTCAGGAGGGGTCCGACAACCAGGAGAGGCATTCTTTCTACAGCAAGTGCCGTTTATGATCCGCTAGGGTTCGGAGCTCCTTTCGTCATGTCAGCCAAAATCCTGTTGCAAGATCTCTGCAGGCTGAAGTTGGGATGGGACGACCCGGTTCCAGATGCTCACCTGAGAAGATGGGATCAGTGGTGCAAAGAACTGAGCCTTCTGCGGGAGTTCAGCGTGCCAAGAAGTGTGACTGCACCAGACGCGGTGGTGAATTGCCAACTTCACATGTTTGCTGATGCAAGCGAAGCTGGCTACGGTGCAGTAGGCTACACCAGGGTGACTGACAGCACAGGGACAGTTCGCACTTCGCTTCTGATGAGCAAGGCCAGAGTAGCGCCGCTGAAGACTTCTTCAATCCCTCGACTAGAGCTGGCCGCTGCGACGCTAGCTGTGCAGTTGAGCACACAGATACTTACCGAACTTGACCTGAAAGTTGACGAAGTGCATTTTTGGACGGACAGTGTGTCCACGCTTCGCTACATCCACAATACCACTTCTCGTTTCCAGACATTTGTGTCCAACAGGCTTTCCGTCATCCATGATGGTTCTGAGCCCGGTCAGTGGAAGTACGTGCCGTCTGCACTGAACCCGGCGGATGCTCTCTCCCGTGGACAGTCGGCACGCGAGTTTCTTCAATCGGTATGGGCTACTGGCCCAGCGTTCCTCGGCGCAGAAGCAGCTGAATGGCCTGACCAGAAGCATGTGATCCAACGCCATGAAGATGTTGAAGATCTTGAGGTAAAGAGAGGCTTGGGGACTCTCTCGGTAGCAGCTGAGTGTGACAGTACTTCGAAGTTGTTGAACAGCGTATCTGACTGGCACAAGCTCAAGAGGCACGTGGCGTGGTGGCTTCGGCTGAAGTGCATGCTGCGGAAGCGGTTGATGAACAGAGGTGACTGTGATGCCGAGGTAGCGGGTCAGCTCTCGCGGGTCAGCTCTCGCTTGACCGTTCAAGAACTTGATGATGCAGAAGTGGCGATTGTGCAGTACACTCAGAAGAAGGCCTTTCCAGAAGAACTCAGCTCCCGTTTTGTCAAGAAATCCAGCTCGATTTATCGTCTGAACCCCTGCATGATTGATGGCGTTCTCAGGGTTGGCGGACGTCTCAGCAACGCAGCTATCTCGGACGCAGCCAAACACCAGATGATCCTGCCGAAGAATGGTCATGTCACGGACATCATCATCAGAGACATGCATGAGAAGAAAGGTCACTCAGGACGTGAACATGTTCTCGCTGCACTGCGCGAAAGGTATTGGGTGGTTAACGGCAATGCAGCCGTTCGCAGAGTCCTGTCAAAATGTGTCAGATGCCGACGAGTTCAGGGCCCGATGGTGACTCAACAAATGTCTGACTTACCTGAAGACAGGACGACTCCTCAAGGCGGTGCCTTCAGTCGAGTGGGCATCGACTACTTTGGCCCGTTCCACGTGAAGGTTGGACGTCAGCGGCACAAGCGGTTTTGTGTACTCTTCACTTGCCTGGCGACGCATGCCATTCACACCGAAGTTTGTGAAAGTCTGGACACTAGCTCGTTTCTGAACGCGTTACGTAGATTTCAGGCTAGAAGGGGACAGGTGACGTTCATTCGGTCAGACAATGGCACCAATTTCGTCGGCGCCGAACGTGAGCTTCGTGAGGAGTTTGCCAAGCTGCGTGAGAGCCAGGTGCACAACTTCTTGCTGAAACGAGGAGTCGAGTGGCAGTTTACTCCTCCCGGTGCATCGGCACAGGGTGGTGTTTGGGAGAGGCAGATCCGGAGTGTCAGAAAAGTGCTGAACGCTGTTTTGAGGGAGCAGTCCCTGACTGATGAGTCTCTTCGTACCCTGCTCTGCGAGGTCGAGGCAGTCCTCAACAGCAAGCCGCTGACGACTGTCTCCAGCGATCCGTCCGATCTTCAGCCGCTCACGCCAAACGATTTGCTGTTGTTGCGGGGAGGACCGATTCCAGACGGCGTGTTCTGTGAACGAGATTGCTTTGCGGGAAAACGGTGGAAACAAGTCCAGTTCTTGGCTGATGTTTTTTGGAAGCGCTGGGTAAAAGAATATCTGCCGCTGCTTCAAATTCGTCAGAAGTGGAACAAGGTTCAGAGGAATTTGCAAGTTGATGATGTGGTACTGGTTGCTGATATGAACTCTCCACGCTGTCACTGGCCTTTGGGACGAGTCACCGAGGTTTTCCCAGATAGAAAGGGTTTTGTGCGCTCTGTGATAGTCCGTACCACTACATCTACCCTGAAGAGACCGATCTCCAAGCTGGTGCTGGTGCTGGAGAGCGAGACCACCGACACTGAGAGCGTGTGAGACCACGAGCATGGCAGACTATCGCACGTGGTGACGTGATTTTGATATCAATTCCAGAAGACTAGTTTGTGTTGATTGATAGCTGTATTTCCAGAAGACTGAACTGGGGATTGACTGCAAGCGGTTGGCGATGAAGGCTCCAATTGCGCTTAGCACGTTTGGTCTGTTGAACCTGGAAGGTTCAAGGGTGGGGGTGTAAGCGCGCCATTTCCATTTTGTCATTTTATGTTCCTTATGTAGTCCACGTTTACCATTCTGCTGATTTCCTATTTTCTTCCTTGGTTTCGCAGCCTTGGCACATTGCTCGCTCGGTCCCTCTGACCTGTCGAGGTCACCGGCCGACCGTAGCCTGGGGCAGGGCCCAGGAATGTAGCTGCGCCGTCGCGACCGCAGGGTCAGAAAAGTAGTAACTGGAAACTGTGATATTTGACTCGTTAATGTGTATGTTATGCCCAATAATGTGCTCAGGATTGTAAAATGTATTGTTTGATGCGAGTAGGGATCTCCTGGACATTTAAGTTGCGAATATGATAGCTGACGCGGATGAACATTTCTGAATATGGGCGGTGCCCGGCGCCCCGGCGCTGGTCGGGGGCGCGGCGCGGGTCAGTTGAGCCCCGTTGAGGCTGGTGGTATGTGGTGGTGTCTGCGCCAGAGCCGGTGAGTCGCACAGGAAAAATGACTGTTAACTCGTAATATTTATGGAATATGTAACCGTAATTAGGGCGAATATTTACTGTGTATGAAACCAGTATTGAATGTTATGTGAATTGCCTGCAGATATTTATTACCGGTCATTTATATGTGGATAAATAAGGTGAAGGCTGACACTCGTCTCGGATTTATAGCCATTTACCAAGACCGTGAGGCTGGTCGTCTAATGTGCCTCTGGAGACGTGTGCCTCTGGTTTCGTTAGCCGATAAGCGACTCAGGGAGCACATTTGTCGGTACGTAACTAAATGTCGCGGTAGCACAATCATGTAATCAAGTGCTTTCGATATAATTATACTGTTTCGTATATGCATATTCAAGTGCATGAATGGACGCGTAGCAATGTACCTGGTTGCCTTTATCAAGTTATTTATTTATGCGTGTGTTATGTTCCCCTCGCCTGTCCCTTTTATTTCCGTCACGTTTGTTTGCGCTCGTTTATGTTTATTTGTGCAATGCTTAACTTAGGGCCGTTGTTTTACAGCAACGATTGCGTGCGGAGGGCCACACGGTCCAATACACCGATCCGTGACGACATCCGAGTTTCGAACTGAGTCTGGTCGGCGGCTACACATCTTTTGTCCTAACTCCTAAGCCGGACTAAGAAAGTCGGGAGCGAGCGCGGTGTGTTTAAACCAGTATCAAAGGTTCGGACAGCGAGCTCAGAGAAAGTGAAATTTCGTGAGCTCAGCTCTACACTCAGGTCACCGAGGTTGCTATAATTAAGTCAAGAGCAGAAAAAACGTCTGTCAAAGCAGTGAATCAAAGCAACATCAAACATGCGCCTTTGCTCGGGCCGAGCGGCGAGCTCGGGCGGTTGGCGGATATCGGAGCTGGCTCCTCAGCCGGATGTGGCTGCCATCCCGCGAGCAGCACCCTTACCGACGGGGAGGGGAGAGGCACTCACTGGTAGTCAGGTAGTGCTCGGGCTATCCCCGCCTCAGCGCGCCGTGAGCAGGAGGCCGGCAGCCGTTCGGCGTATCGAGAGAAAGCGACACCCACTCACCAGGTGACGGACAGGTGTCGCAGCGCTCGGCGACACATGCTCGCCAATTAATGACGGATTTAGGGCTAAAAAGTTACAAAACACCCACAATCTCAGACTGAATAGTGAATATTTCTCCCGTCCGCTCCCCTCCCCCTCTCTTTCTCAGCAGCAGTGGCAGCGTGTACCACTTTATAACATAAGCACAGTGCAGAGTTCAGTTCCGTCTCGAGGGGGCGGCGCGGCGGCGAGCCTCAGGATCTGGCCTCCTGTCGCGGTCAGTCAAAGTGCGTCTCACTATCTGGAGGTCACCGATAGCGACGGCGCCCCTCCGCCGACGCTCGCCCTGCCCCGCCCACAGCTCCGACATGTCATCGGCCGTCACCGCGCCGCCAGGATAAGCGGGCTTAATTTCAACATTGTTGGCTTTAATAGGCTGGCGGGGCGGCATTCTGCACGGCGTTTGAAGGTACGAGATGACAGGAGCGCCTGACATGACGCCGCTCAAGTTCGTGGGACGATCGCAGGGTAGCCGGCGATAAAGGCCGACCTGTCACGTGACTGACGACGTGGCTAATCGCCTATCGGCGGGCGGCGCCGATAAAGGCCCGGTAAACCAGAGAAGTCACATTCTCGGATGAGGCGACCGACACTACACCAGTGTTGAAGCCGCCATGTAATCCCCCAACTCTCGCCGCGGCTTCAGAGACGAGCTGGGAACACGCCGTGTCAATCCACTCAACAGCGTAGTGGAATGAATAGGAGGCGTAAGGTCAATGTTCCGGAGTGCCCGGCGCGACGAGAAGCAGACGCAGATTGTCAGCGGAAAGTTCACAAACAGGGTACGATTTCCCCAGGGACGCAGATGCACGACAAAACCGAGAGAGTTATGCAGATTGAGAAGGAGAGAAATAGCAAATAGAGGGGAAAGGATAGAGAGAGAGAGAGAGAGAGAGAGAGAGAGAGAGAGAGAGAGAGAGAGAGAGAGAGATAGAGAGAGAGAGAGAGAGAGAGAGAGAGAGAGAGAGAGAGAGAGAGAGAGAGAGAGAGAGAGAGAGAGAGAGAGAGAGAGAGAGAGAGAGAGAGAGAGAGAGAGAGAGAGTTGGGAGGTAAGAGAGGGACGATCGAGAGTATATAGTTACGAGCCGAGCTGAACCAGGAATGTCAACAAGTAGCGATTCGCAGTCGATGGGCGCGAGTGCCGGGGGCTGTTTGAGCACCTGTTTACCTCAGTTCGCAGCGTGCGTATCCCGATGTAAGTTATCGATTCCTTGGCCTAGTTACCGACGGGTAACGCTGGCTTTTAAGATAGCAGCGAAAAAAAAAAACTATACCTACTCGCTGCATTTCGCACCTCGCCCTACTGTCCCTAGGGAAAGCGATGTGAAAATATGCTTTTTTTCATTATCACAGCCTTGCCTTTGCTACAGCTTTGACCCTGGATAGTCGCAAATTGCGGAAACTGGATAATCGGGAAAGTGATTTGATGTCCATGTACAAAACAAAACGGCCCGTCGGGAGCAGAAGGAATACCGAACGAACACACATTGCAGTTCAAGACGTTGTCGAATGAAGTCAAATGCTTATGGGTAAGCCCATGTAATGGAAAAATACCATGGATAGGTACGTTGAACCTTCTTATGGATGGAGGATTGCCAGGCTTCTGTAGCGAATCAGTACAGAATGAAAGCCTGTGTCTTTGCGACATGAGGAGGTCAGAGGATCTCGATCAAACCCATGTTTACTAACGCACACATCAAAAACCTCCTGCGAGAATCCAACCACTCTAAGAAACGCATCTGTTTCGTGGCCTGCACCGCCGGCCGATTTACCTGGTGAGCTCGCGGGTCTTGCGGCGCTCGTCGTAGGCCATGCCGTACCATCCTCCTCCGAGCATGGCGATCCAGGAGGCCGGCAGCAGCTGCAGCGGCGAGCCGGTTAGACTCCAGTCCAGCATCGCCCCGCCGCACACCGCGGCCAGCAGTGGCCAGCCGGCGGCCAGCGCTGGACCAGCACACCAGACCAGCTGAGACCAGACCAGCTGACCAGACCAGCAGACCAGACCGGCAGACCAGACCGGCAGGGATCAGCAGCAGTTAGCCGGCGGCCAGCGCTGGACCAGCTGACCGGACCAGCAGACCAGACCAGCTGACCAGACCAGCAGACCAGACCGGCAGGCCGGACCGGCAGGGATCAGCAGCAGTTAGCCGGCGGCCAGCGCTGGACCAGCAGACCGGACCAGCTGACCAGACCGGCAGACCAGACCAGCAGACCAGACCGGCAGGCCCGACCAGCAATCGGTGGCCAGCGAACAGACAATTCGCCGGTCCAGTAGCCAGTTGATGTGTCAACAACCAGCTGCCGACTAAGCTGCCCAGCTTCAGCCGCTACGACCAAATAACGGTCAATGCCCAGCACAGCACTAAGCAGCTTCTCTCCGACCAGCGCACAGCAGGTCACAGCCGACACACCACACCACGAAACGAACACCGCGCGTCACTCTGGACGCCCCAGCACACACCGTAACGCCGCGACGTGACGCGGCACACTGTGGGGCGGCGGCGCGGCGGAGCACAGCGGAGCAGCGGTACCGCGCGCCACGTGACCGTCGGCCGCGCGGCACACTGCCTCCGCCGTGCCGCCGCCGCCGCCACCGCCGCGGTATCCACAGCTGACTCGGAGCCCAGTGTAAATATTGACAGAGCGCGACTCAGAACGGGCGACCAGGGGCCGCACACGCGTGCCCCGTACATACATCAGACGGCACGTGGCGCGTGGCGCACGGGGTGGTGTGCAATATGTGCACGCGGCACGTGGGGAACACCACCGTCCGGCACGTGGGGAGTCGCCGGCCGACTCGAGTTTCACGCGCTCCCGTAATGCACCAGATTCAGAAACCCGAGCCCCGATCGGATAACGGAGCGAATAAATCGCCACCCTCTAAAAATGTCACCTTCTGGGTCCGACCCAGGTCAATATCAACCAGTCTGAGTCGCGCCCGGCCGCCTGAAGTCGGACAAAAACCCGACACGGGTGGCAGCACAGACCACGCCCAGCCGACTGCAAACAGGCGCGTTAGATCCGGCTGGCGGCGCCTATCTAAAGCCGGTGTGCCGGCGGCGGGGGAGTGACGACGACCTGATAATACAGCAGCGGAGGCCGCCCGGCAGCGTATGAGGAGGCAAAACCGAACAGCGCAGCTCGAGACGGCCTGGAGAGGGCGGCAGAGACGGCCTGGAGAGGACAGTAGAGCCGGGGTGCGCAAACATGTGCCTCCCAATGGGTTATGGATGAAAACAGGGAGCCACGCAGACAATAAAAGATGTTATTACTCGGAACTTGGGCAAAACATGCTACAAAAGTGTTGGGTGTAAAAAAGACGGAGTGATACGCCAAAAGGGAGTGGAAAAGTATGTGAGCATTCCACCCAGCTTGTATCTGTCAAAAAGTAGATAGAAAGTTACGTAAGTGCGAAACGTTGAAGTTACATCAACCGAGACATTGTTTATTCAACTTAAATCCTATGCTTGACAACAAGGTGTGTATATTTGACCGACCGGCTGCAGGAATGTCTCATCTATCTGGTGGCTATCTGATAACTATCAGAATGGAAAAGTACTGTGTGCAATGTGCATAGCTATGCGTCATGACTTATAGCAAAGAAGTGGAGTTTAAAGGCATCTTATCTTATGATCCATTTTAACTTGCTGTATCATTACATGAAGGTCATACTAAGACATATAAACAAGCATGTGTTAAATGGGAGCAACGTGGTAAAAAAAAAAAAAAACAAGCCGACCTATCAACTCTACTCGTACTTACGTATTTCATTCACGTAGCATATCCCAAAGATGATTCGTCCATTTTCTACTAGTTATAGCCGCGTTTTCCCCTTCCCCTGAAAATAATGATCGCAGTATCGCTCTGTTCATGGCTTTATTCGTAATTCAATCATTGCTTGTATTTCAGCTTGACCGCACACGATGTGAGCTACTGTCATCAATAAAACAAAATTAGAAGTTTCTGGACTACTTTCAATCTACAAATATTAGAAATGAAACATTGAAACTGGCCGACGTTTGTCGTAACTGACGAGAATAGCCACCGACATTGCCGTCCATCGACTGCTGCCTTCGGTCCACTGACGTCATCATCTCAGACGGAGCTCTCGGCGGACCGCCCATGGCCACCAGGCGGGGAGAACTGAGCAGTGAACAGTCAGCGGTTCTGCAGTGAACAGTCCGCGGCTCCCGGGTCCGCTCAGTATGCGTCTGGGGCGCCCGGTGCGTATCGCGCCCCCGGCCGGTATATGTGCCCCTCTGTCGTCCTCCTGACCCCACTGACCGCCGTCAGTGACGTCCACCGGGCCGGGCGCAGAGGTGAGCTGACGGAACTGGGCACCGGCCCACTCCCGGCGTGGCTATTTCCGAAATTAATGACGGGAATTCAGCTCAAGTGCCGCGCCCGTCCAGACGAGTCGGCCGGTGGCTCCGGCGCGCACGGCGACCCACTGCGACGGTGACCGGTGAATGGGAGCCGGAAGGACGCC